TCTCTTGCATCAGTGGCTGATGTTTATGTACTTTCTGAGAGTTGGACAAAGTTTTCAGCTTTTCCTTTGGCTCTGCAACAGTTTCTCTTTCTTTTTCTCTTTCCCCCGTCTGAAACCTCCCTGAATGTCCTTTACTCTGATCACCTCAGTCTATGACTATGAAAGTCAAAATATGGTTTAATTTTTGCCTGATACTTTTTTCCCTCTCTCTTCTTTGTACCAGCTTCTTTGTCTGGTGCATTCACTCCAAGTGCCTGGAATTCCTCTGGCCACAGGGAAGCAGCAGGACTGTCTTTTGTATCTAGTAACCATAGCTACTGGTTTGGAGTGTGAAGCAATTACGGTGGCTTTGTGTAGTGCAGAAGGAAGGCCCCTTGCATACATGGTATTGTTCAGGATGTGGCTGCCAGGGAGCTGGCATCTTTCTGAGGATTTGTGCTGTTTGGCCATTGCACTGATAGCTTTTCACTGGGGATATGGGAGCATTGTTTCCTTGTGGAGTGATATAGCCCAGCAAAGCTCAAGGGAAGCAGTAATTTCCATAGGCTTTCCACCTGCTCCTATTTTGCAAGGGGAATTCTGCCAGATTTTAACTGTAGTGAATGGTGGTATTTATGGAGCACTTGTAGACTTTTAAGGCCATAAGAAAATGCCTTTTCTTGCCCTTGTGAGGCATATGGCTACTTTTTTTTTTAATGTCTTAATTGAGTTTAAATGTCACTGAAGCACAGAATGGCCAAGTTACCTGTTCACAATTTTTGAGATAGTTCTGGTTCTCCAGATGGGCTGTGGAAGCTGTAACCCTGAGATCTCTCTGTAGCCACCTCCACACTGCCTCCACTTGTTTGACATGAACTCCAGAGGGACAGCAGTGCAGACTCTGCATGTGACTCCAGTTGTACTGCTGCTGTCTGCAGAATGGCCAGAATCGCTCTCAGCCTAACTTGTTGTGTTCTAAAGGAGATTCTGGAGGTCAGAATGAGTGTCTACTCACTTCTGTTCCCACAACTCCAGCCAGCAATGAGCAGAGTAATTCGCATACCTTTGGCCTGGAAAATGCTTTGGACACCTATTGAGAGAGGACATGTGCAAACAGACCTTTTCTCTGGCAGTTTGCTATCTGCTCTAATGCAGCTCTTGAGATTAGCTCGGACACAGGGACAGTTTAAATCTTCCTCTCTTCAAAAGGTGGAAACAAAGACATACAATCTTTTCAGCTATTTTGTTGATTGTCAATGTATTTAAATAAGAATTGGAAATTAAAGCTTGTGACTCAATCTGGTTAACTGAGTACACAGGAAACTCTCTGTCTCAGTGTTTGATCTGTGGAAATGCCTGAGAGATCAGAGAATGTGTAAACCATGCAGGTCAGCTTGGAGAAGTGTTTATTAAGGGAAAATACTGGGTGTCATAAGCACAGAAGATCAAAGGTTTACTGTGGCAATATATGCAATGCTATCATAAAACGTGGATTTATAGCTTCTGTCTTTCTCCCAAGTTCTAGAAGCAATATAGTAGGAGTTACATCTTCAAATCTGCTTTAAAATAGTGAACAGGTAATGAAAACAAGCTGGCTGGCTACTTATTCTGTGTTAAGAGTAAGTTTAATTCCCTGAAGTGGTATTTCTGATTAATGCTGGTAATGCATGTGGCCATCATATTGGCACTGCTCAGCCCTATGGATCACTGTCCACCGTTTGGCACCATTCAGCAATTCACTGGACAGGCTGGGTGCGAAGGAGCCAGGAATCATGTTCTACTGCTTGGGGGGGGGCAGATACTCTGCATATTTCACAAGGGGAAACGGAGCTGCATCTTCTTGTGCCCATGTTAATGAAAATCTAGTGGTCTAGGCCTTTATAAATTCTTTACAAGTATTATATCTCTGGCATGAAAAATCTCTGTCACACCAAAAATGGAGCATGCAAATGTTGTGGTCTGGAGCTGCTTGTTCTCCAGTAATGAATTAAAACAACATCCGAAGTAGGCTGGGAAGTGATGAACACGCAACAACCATCTAAAACATTGGACAGGAAAAGCTGCAATCTGAGCTTTGTGCAAGGACATCGCTAGAGGGTTTTAAATTAGTATCCAGACTGGTAGTTGGCAAGATACAGGGTTTGTGTGTTCAAGAACTTGACTCTGAGCACCAGAATCTCAAGGGAAATTGAACATACCTGATCCTAATGGTGACATCACCTGAGCATGAGACCAGGAAATTCAAGCAAAGCTGATGGGAAGTGGCTGGGGAGAGAAGGAGCAGCTGGTAGGTGGGAGCAAGTTACTTCAACAGAGCTTGGCTGGCAGAGGTGGTTAAGTTGCTGCAGCTCCGGCGCTCAGCAGTTGTGATCAAACATTGGTATTTTGGAAAGCTTCCCATGCCTGCATCCCATTTTCTCATGTTGAACAGAAAAGCCCACTGTTAAAGCAGCTATCAAAAGATGCCCCCATTACCATGTAACAGGACACAGAATACATGTTACGGAATATTTTAGGCTAGATGAAAAATCAGTGCCAATTATTACCATGTCATGAGCTTGTCAGTATCCTCAGAATTTCCTGGCCTTGTTTTCTGCTGCTGGTATTACTAGGAGCAGGTGTTTTTCCTGGGTCTGGGAAGAAAGGGTTTAAATCTCTCTGTGTCAAGAAGGAAATTGGGCTTGTAAATTCTTAGGGTGTGTGAAGCCACCTAAAAAGGCCTTTTATGCTCCCTGGACCAAGTACACGGAAGGTACTTCCTAAAGGATTCGATTTTATTCTGCCGTTACCTTCCATAGCAGATAAGCTAATCTTCCAAAGTTAGCAAGGGTGGAGAAGAGAAAGGGGCAGCAGCATGAAAGCCTCATTCAGGCCGTTCCAGTTTTCCTTCCTGGTGTGTGGATCCTGGGAACAGGCCATGGTGTGTACCCTTTCGCTAATCCTTTACACTGACCAGGGCAGGGAAAGATCAGCAGAGGTCAGCAGGGATTTACTAATATAAGCGCATGCCTTCCTGTTGTCATGGAGACATAACTCTTTCCTTTATTCAAGTTTAGTAGCTGTGTAACTCTGATACTTGAGGTGGAGGGGTTCTCTTTCTACCCTCAGTATCTTTCTCTGGTGGGAAATGTGCTGTGGGGATCAGCAACAGCACAGCCTGGCTGGTAGGAATTGCATCAGGCTAGGGATTTAGCAGTCACAGTTGAGGTATTATAGTATTCCATTTGAATAACACATTAAATATAATAAAAAACCCCAAACCCATTAATCAATTGTCAGAATTGTTCTTCACTATGAAGGAAACAAGGTAATCTCTGGGCTGATAACCCCAATGCTGCCACTTCCTTGTTGGAATTTAAAGTGACCATTAAGAGCACCTTTAGGGTAGTTATCAGTGAGGCACTGGGCATCTCCCATGAGGTCAGGTGTATCCCAGCCTGAGGGCATCCACCCTCCATCCTGGTTTCCCAGGACTTTGGAAGAAATAAACTTGTGAAAAGCAAACCCCAAAACCAGAAGCCATGAATAACACTAAAGCAGCATCTCACAAGTGGTGAAGCAATAAATGTCTGAAGCTCCTTGTCTTGTGTATTGTGTTAGTAAGTCATCATTGGCCTCTAATAAAACCTTTGGCCAGCATAATGTCAGGATGGAGGGGGGAGGCTGTGAAAAAAGTTACTTCAGTGCAACTTCTGTTGTGGGGGAAATTACTGCTGAGATTTCACAAGTATGAGATAATGGAGAACAGACAAAGTTGAGGGGGTCGGCTTGGTTTTTAAAGGGTAGAAACCTTGCTTCAGCTCTTTGAGACCCTCCTCCTCCCACGCTGCCTTTATCAGTTCCTACAGCAATCTGTCAGTCCAGTGCAACAGCATCTTGTCCCAGGTTACTGAGGCAAGAGATCCCTCAGGACTCTGGGACAGAGGCAGTGAACTGCTGCCAGGGGATCTCGGATGGCTAGAAAACTTGCTGTTGCAACTTGGAAAGATCATTTACTAAAGGTATAAAATTCTTAAAGCAAGTTATTAAGGCAAAACCTGGAAATGGAGCTTGTTTGCCTTAAAGTGATGCAAAAGGTCAGAGACCTCAACTTTGAGGCAACATCTTTGTCAGCTACCTTTAAAGTATAAAACCAGACCCGCCCTGACAGAGTGCACTGAGTGCTTTATATGTGACTGTTAGCCTTTGAAGTCCCTCCTAATCCACCCCTAAATGCCTGGAACATGTTCTTCAAAGAAACCTGAGTCTTCTCCAGTTTCATTTCAGGGTAGGATTTCAGGATGGTATGACTGTAAGATACTTTATGGTTATTCTCCCACTTACAAACTTCCCTGAATCATATTCTTCTTGTCATGGGTAAAGGAAAAATCCTGAATGTCATTGTTAGTCCAGCAACAACTGTTTCTGTGGAAAACTATGAACTCTTTTGTCATTCAGTGATTTCTTTGGCCTGATTTTCACCATTTTAATGAAACAGCATTGTCTGAATTACACATTTTCATGATTGGTATGTTGTGCAGCAGGAAAAGCTTACTCACTTATTAGCATTTGGTGTGTATTCATATGCTATTGGCATTAATAATCATTAATCTATTCGAAAATTGAGAGGAATTATTGTATACCCTAGGGCTAATGGATGAAAATATCAAAACCAGAGTTAAAAACATCATAGGTGTTCTTCCTCGAGCTGGCTGGTGGTCTAAGTTTTGATACCTTTTTTAGTCCACTATGTTCTTCAGCCTCTGCAACCAGCCTCCTGGCAACATCACAAGTGGGACATACTCAGTCTCACTCCTGGAATTCCCCCTTTCTGACACCTTGTAACAAATCTGGTTCAAATTCATGTCTCATCTGTGGAATTATTTAGTCAGAAGTTTTGGCACTGTCACTGAATGAATATGAGGGTTATACTATATTTACACAGGGGCATGTTTTGTCCTTGGGAAATATTCCAGTATGAGCATAGGCTATGTGCAGGGGACTATGTGATATAATCTTAGTGTTAATAGTCCTGTATCCTCCACTGAGTAGGGCAAACATGGGTGATTTTCTGCAAGCTGCAGTTCACAGGATAATTTGAAGGTACTTAGATATTATTTCATTTCTTGTGATTTATGCTGCAGTCTTCTCAGCCTGCTCCATACATGCCTTATGAGCAGTGCTGTGGTACTTCAGGAGATTCATTCCAAAAGAGGAACATTTGCCTCCAAAATGAGGTCCTGCTAAAGTTACAACTTTTAGATGTAACTAAGGTAACATTTGGTTATAGAAAGTATCTAAAACTAATAGAGCAACAATGCAGGAATTCAGCCTTTCTCAGTCCTGTATGTAACTAGTTTTTCACCACAGATTACAAGTACACATAACTAGTTAACTGTTGCTACTGTTCATGGTCATAGTGAGCTTAGGGGAGATTGGAGTTCTCCCTATTTCTGTATTGCTGCTCTTTGGTAAGCCAAGAGGGTCTGGGATTTCTCAGTGAAGCTTTGTGTTGGCTGTCTTGGTATTTGTAGTTCACCCCTGTTGTGTCTTCAAGTTTGTGTTTGTGACTGTGGGGCCATATATTTGTTGCCAAATCTTGTAATGGACAAGCATTAATGACCAATACAGATTATTGAGCATTGCAGTATGATGAACCAGAATAGCAGAGGTACAAAAAGGTATGTCTGTTGTGAAAGAACTTTGGAAAAGACAGGAAATAGCGAAGGGATTTGATATTTATCTTTATCTGCAAGAAGAATTTAGACTGTCTGCTTACGATGGAAGCAGAAACCATGCATGGAGCCTTTGAAATGCCTCCAGCCTGTCTACACTAGCAGAGCTTTGTGATTCTTTTGAAAGGTGAATTTCTTTGCAGATTTCTCTGCAAATCAAAGTCCTTCCAAACGTGCAGTGGACTTGGTCTCTGGTTTTTTATCTTGGACTGTGCTCCTGGCCTGAGGGAAGTGGAGCCTGGGGCTGGTTACTCATTAAGTATACAAAGGCTCCTATCTCCTGCCTAGTAAACCTCTTCTGCGAATAGTTTCCTGGGCTCCCACTCTAATTGCTACAGAGATTCCAGGCAGATTCCGTCATCCTTGTTTTCTGCCTGACTGGGAATCTGAGAATAAAAGGGTTGATGGCAGAATAATGAGATTGCTGGACAGTGCAATGCTCAGCAGCTCTCCCCAGCATCACATGAGGGAGGAAGGGAGGGGTGGGCCTAGAGATGATGCTGGGAAGAGAATGGGCTATCTAAATCCCTGAGCACCCTCCCTCCCCCGTCAACACTGCCCCTTAAAGGAAGACTTAGAAACTCTACAGTCTTTTGGTGGGAGGAATTTGGGGGAGGTCAGGGCAAGGGCATGCTTTTGTAAACCAAAGTCTCCTATAAATCCCTTTCAGGTTCTGAAGTTGGATGCCTCCACCTTCAGCTACAAAGAGACCAAGGAGCTGATGGGGCAGTGAGTTGTAGAAAACCACTGACACAGATTAACTACTGGGTGTGTAGAAGGTGCACCAGAGCAAGGCAAACATGACCAAAAATGGGCTGGGATAATGATGGCGTGAATGCGAGAGTGTGTAGGGTCGGCCGAGAAGTGATGCTGTGGTGTGTGATCCTGGCAAATCCTTAGTGTGGAGCAGGGCACGTTAAAATATTTCTCAACTAGCAGTGATAGAGCAGGGGCCCACAGTTACATACAGAAGGCAGCAAAAAGGGCAAAGAGCCCTTAACAGTGGCATCTAAACCCAAGGTAAAATTCTGGAGATAGCTTGACTTCCAGCACTAGGCTAAGTCAGAATTGTCTCACCAGAAGCAGGAGCTATTTCTCAGATACTATTTGCTATTTCATGAGCTTTATCTCTGCTTTGTGGCCATTTTTCATAGATGTTTTCAAAACATCTACTGTATGGTTTGCGGAGTTACTTCCAAGTTTGGATGTTTCCTAACACTTATGCAGGAATTGGTCTACCCCAGAGCTTCTCTCTTATGTATCCTGGAAAGGATAGAATTTAGGGGAATCTCAGCATTAGTTGCTGGTATCTGGATGTTACACTGTGTTTTGGCTCTGCAGATACTAAGAGTTTAGACCTAAAATACCATCAGCAGAGTGAATCTCATCAGTTTCTGTTCTTTGCTGTTCTTATAACACTTAAAAATTCCCTGCTGTGTAAATGTACGTGTCTAACCTGTGGGGAGAGGCTGCCTGGGCAGTAGTTGTCAAACTTTGAGCTACTTGATGTATCAGACTGTGAAATGTGTCAGTTTGGAGTTTGGGTTGGATTGTTTGTGGCAGGATGTTCAGATAACTGGTGGATTAGCTGAGAAAAAAAGAAGTATCTCCAGAAGGAGCAGGTGAGACATCAAGACGTGTTGTCTGCCTCTCTGGATTTCCAAGCACAAGTCCTGTGCCCTACCAGTGAAGGGGGTTGTTGAAGCTTACACAAAGTTCATCTCATGCGTGGATTTAAGGTGATAAGTTTCACTGCTCTCAAAGTGCCTTATGGATGAATAAGCACAAATTGTATGTGGTGATCAGCAGAACTTTCTTCTTTAGGGCTGGCTAACAAAAAGTCTCTTTTCTCAACAGGAGTTTCATCCTCTGAAAATGACAGCAGCTGTTCCTCATCCCCCTGTGAAAATGGTGGGAGCTGTCAGGATTTGGAAGTGGGATACAAGTGCACCTGCCCTGTGGAGCCTGTAGCCTACATGGGCATCAACTGTGAACACCTCTATGATGCATGCATTAAACATGAGTGTACTGCCCACAGGATGTGCAACAGCACTCCAGGATTCCTGGAATATGACTGCATCTGTATGCCTGGCTTCACAGGTATTGATTGTAACGTTAATATTAATGAGTGTGAGAGCAACCCTTGTACAGACCCTCGTTTTGAATGTGTAGATAGTGTAAATGGATACACCTGTAAATGCCAAACAGGACTGAGTGGAGAAGGCTGCCAAACAGAAAGCTCTGTGTGCTCTAGCCACCCTTGCCTAAATAACGGGACGTGTGTGGAGGGTCCTGGGGACTATACCTGCATCTGCCAGCCTGGCTTCACCGGGGCCAACTGCAGAGACAACATTGATGAGTGCACCTCCAACCCCTGCCAGAACGGAGCCATCTGCCGAGACAGGGTCAATGAGTATAGCTGTTTCTGTGTGCCTGGGTTCCAAGGATACAACTGTGAAATAGACATCAACGAGTGTGCGTCCCGGCCCTGTAGAAACAATGGCACCTGCCTCAATGAGATGGATCACTATGTGTGCAAGTGCATCCCTGGCTACACAGGTACCTTTCATGCTCATGTACTAGCCGGGTGGTTGGGTTATGTCTCATTGTTCATGTAGTTCCACATTTTGCCTGCTGCTGCTGTGTCTTGTAGAGTTAGTAGCTGTCCTGAGAAGCTGTCGTTTTACAGCTATGAAACTAAATCTCTGTTGCACGACTCATTTCTGGAGTGTTTGATACTGTGTGTGAATAATGGTACAGGGCTTGTTGTGGCTTCTGGGCAACAGTTGGGGCTTGGATTTCCATGGATGGCGTGGATGTTGAGGGACATGGATCAAAGAGTGGAAGTGGGTGGATTATCTGAGACTTGAGTACTAGATACAGGTAGCTGTGATTAGCTCTCAGTGTGAAATTAAGGCAGATAGACAAGGGAAGAGATCTATTATCAGGAAATGTATACTTAGTGTTTCCAGGTATAAGGTATCTCTGCCTATCTGGCCTATGGTTCTTTGTCCTGCCCTGCAGGACTTCTCAGGGGGAAGTAGTCTTCTTGGAATAAAGCGGTTTTTAGTTGGAGATTTCTTTTCCAATTCTTACACAATCAGTGAGTGTTTTTTGGCATGTGACATAAGTATCTCCTTTGGGGCATCTGTGCTAATGGTGACTCAGAGTAATTTACAGCTGTGAGTTATCTGTGAGGGAGGCAGTGGGGGGGTTCTCCTTTCTCCAGTCCTGCTTATCAGAGTGGAATGCAATTGTGTTGCACCCACGTCTGCCTGGTACCACCTAGCACATGAACTTTCCCAGCCTTCCTCAGTGTCACAGGCTTAAGTGTTTCAAGAGTTAGGTTGCTGTGAAGGAATGCTGCCGATTACCAGTGGAATGAGAAGTTACAACATCAGGAATGCAGCCCCTGATGCTGACTCACTTTCTGATAAGAATTAACAGAGATGAAGGAGGAAAAATAGGAAAATTTCATTTTAGGTTTTAAGATTACTCCTGATTTTGAGTATCAAGTATAATTCAGTCTTTGCAAAACTGATTCTATTTTATCTTTAGGCTGAATCCTCAATTCAGGATTGTGGGATTCCCCTGCCAAGGAAGTGATAAAATGACCCAGGCAGCTGGAGGAGTTTGTTGTGTTCCGAGTTACTCTGCTATGAGGCCTTGCCTTATGATCTGGTGCTTCATCCATTCTGGCATCACTGGCTACCAGGTTGTTTCCTGGTGCTTGCAGCTGGAATTTGGTTGAAGGAAATTTTGCATTGGTGTTGACGGGTTTGAACCAGCAGATTAGGGGGCCCACATTCCACCAGGATTAGGATGGCCATGTCCACTATGTGGTTAGCCTTTGCCAAGAAGGGGAGATAAGATGGATTGGCAGGTGCCACTGCAATGGCTGAGGTTTGGAGGTGATGCCAGGCACTGGACAACTCAGAGGTAGAATATAGCATAAGAAGAGGGTTGCATAGAAGTCATGCAAGAGGTCTTATTCTTTCAGGGAAAGTTGAGACTTTGGACAAAAATGAGTGACTTGCTGTTGTTATTGACTAGTAGAATTGGAACTAACACCTAATTTTTAATAGCATTCATAATAAAATTCCTTACTAATATCTAGTATCACTGGAGTTAGCTTTTTACACTGCTTTAATGCTTTTTTCCTAGTATCTCAAAGCAAGTTACAAATATTAACTAAACAAATGGAACAATATTTTGGAGAAGCAGATAGAGATCAGTTTTCCCATATGACCCAGAATGCAGCTGCCCCTGCTGCAGAACACTGGATCTGATTAATAGCAATCCAACTCAAGAGTACCATATGTAACTAAAACTGTAAGAGCTATATCGTATGTAAAAGTTTAAATAACACTGACTAGTAGTGTGATTCTTCCCATCCCTGTCCTCCCTGCCCTCAAAGGATCCAATTCCCCATACTGGAAGCTATGTTTTGTTTTGAGAGAGGACTAAAACCCAAAACTCTAGACAAAATAATTGTGGTTTCAAATAAAAATTAAAGCTCTTTAATTTGTAGGAGTCACATGCTATTCATGAGCTCCCAATATTCTTACAGCAGTATTAAAACAGATCACTGTCTGGCCAGTTTGGTTGGTGACATGGGTTTTGTGATTCCAGCTCACAAGTCCAGGCAGCACAGAATCACTTTTTGGATTTGTAACACAAATATGTCTCTGTTTTGTAACAAAGGTGTGAACTGTGATGCTGAAATCAATGAATGTGATTCAGACCCTTGCCAGAATGGGGGCCTGTGCCATGATCACGTTGGATTCTACACCTGTACCTGTGCCCCAGGTTACCAAGGAATGCAGTGTGAGGTGGACATCGATGAATGTGTGAGCCAGCCATGCCTACACAATGGGACATGTCATGACCTCATTAACAGGTGAGAAGTCAGAGTTACTTGGCAGTTAGATAACCAGGACCTAGTGTAAACTGTGAAAATTGGAATAGAAATCTGGGGGTGGAGTTGGGTTTAGTGTTTTGTACATCCCAGGGGTCCCAGCGATTCATGGCAATAAGTAGAAGGCCCCTCCCAGCAGCAGAACTCCTAGGGTGCTTCAGGGAAGACAGGAAAGGATTCCTGTTACTGCTTCCAGCTGACAGATCACATACAAAGGGAAGCGATTTGCAGAACATGAATGGCAAGGCAACTGCTGAGAACATAGCTGTGTGTCTGAATTTATCTCCTCACAGGTAAGGTGTGAACTCAGAGGCTGCTGAGGGTTATCTGCTCTGGCATCAGCGTGGCCTTTGTGCTGATGTGATCCTCTTGTCTTTTTCCTCTGCCCCACAAGTGGTGTAAGGACTGTCAGCTTAGCTCTGTTTGCTCTTTCCTCATACTGGGCTTTGCAGTTGAATTAAGAGCTTATGCATTGCTCTGTTTTGCTGCCCCACAGCTATCATTGTGACTGCAGTGACACAGGCTTCCAGGGGGACCACTGTGAGTTGGATATCCTGGAGTGCGCCTCTGAACCCTGTCTGAACAGTGCAACATGTGTGGAGGGAATCAAGAACTACAGCTGTGTCTGCTGGCCAGGTAGGTTAGAAATCTCTGTTGCTATGCTGGTGTGTAGACCCACTGCAATGGAGAGCACATACTAAGCTGCTGTGTTGAAGAAGTAAAGAACTAGTGATGATACTGTGTGATTTTTTTTTCATTGAAACAGTGAGGCTGACACTGCTGCCCCTTACAGGCCACCCAAAATCCAACTGACCTCATGGCTGGGAAATACACCCTGATTCCCAGCTGTAAATTTTTCTTTTTTTTTTCCCTGCCATTTTTCATCGTGTGTTTTTCTCTCATGGGTTAATGCTTTCCTGCAAGGTGATTATTTGGCTCCTGCTTTTGACATAGTGGAGAAAGTGGAGGGCCCTGGAACTCCCCACTAGATGAGCTGCAGTGTCTTCTGAGTCTTATTCTCATCTTCAAGGCAGCATCAATATTTGGCAGAGTAGTTCCGGTGAAGCTGTGGGAGATGCTGACACTGATGTCTCCTGGCAGGTTACACAGGGCAGCACTGTGAAGAGGATGTGGATGAGTGTGCAGCATCTCCCTGTCACAACGGAGGTGTATGCTTTGAGAGATCCAACCAAGCCTATTATGGAACACAACCCGAGTTCCCCAGTGATTTCAGCTATAGCCAAGCAGCTGGTTTCCTCTGTTGGTGCCAGCCAGGCTTTGCAGGTGAGCTATGCAGTGCACCTGGGAGATGCTACATGGTTTGAGAAGATAGGAATGGAGCAATGTTATCTGTGCAACAAAAATCACTTGATGACTGGTACTTCAGAGGGTGGCAGCCTGATGCATCAGGAACGTGCTTTTGTTCGCATATTGTAGGAATACATTGCAGACAGATGTCTGAATGTCATTCTCCATCCAGCAAGCTTGTCTCAAGGCTGAGGCAACAGCCTATGCACTTCCCAAGTGCTTTGATGAATGCCCCCTGACTATGCAGATGCCAGGGCGGTTTCTCTTTGTCAGTCTGTCATGCATATGGCAGAATTCATCCCTACAGAATATCTGTGAAAGCCTCATCAGAGGAAACTAATTCCCTGGAGTCCCAGATAACTATTCTGGGTGTTTCCTTGATGAGACTACTCGTACAACAGCAAACTATATAATCAGAGTGGGTAGGAGAAGAGGGAACTGGGAACTGCTCTTGGAACTGGGAGCTCTGTGCATGTTCAGCTCAAATTTCACCCTTTCCCTGGTTTATAGATATGTATAAAAGGCTGATTTAACAGCTGGGGAAATTCCCTGGGGGCTAAACAATAATACTTTATTCAGTTTTGAGAGAAAAAGGAGGTTTTGGTCCACTATTGCACTGATGGGAATGGTTCAGAAGTTCTGATCCTGCGCCTGCTCCCTTTCATGACATCAGAAAATCATTTGACCTTTCCGTACTTCATTTTTCCTAATTGTTTTGGTGATAATATCTATTTACCAGAGTGTCTGGAGAGACATGCTATAGCACAAAAAATTCTTTTGCATTTTTAGATGACAGAAAATAAGTGTAAAAAATTCTGAATGCAGTTGTCTATTCAGATTCTTTCCCTCACTGATGCATGTGTATACTCAAGATGCTTCTTTGTGTTTTCACTTGAAAGGGGAGACCTGCTTTACCAACATTGATGAGTGCGAGTCCCAGCCCTGCCAGAATGGAGGGCTCTGCATGGACCTTACTAATGGCTTCCTTTGTAGTTGCCTACCAGGTTATTCAGGTAATGCTGGTGAAGGGGGGTGGCTGGAATCAAGTCCTTCTGGTTAACTAATGCTGAGCTGCTGCATTACTGCCTGGCTGCAGGACTGGATTCCAGCCCTGGGTAGCCCAGGCTGCTGGGCAGGGCTGAGATGAACTCTGGGGAATGTGGGATGTGTGCGGTTCAGGGCTCAAATGCCATGGGAAAGCTCTGTGGTTTTGGTCAAGAAAGTTAATAAGATGTGAGCTAGATTTTGAGAGGTAAGATCAATTACGTACAAGACTCTAAGATCGGAATATCTTGGGGATGTGTTTCCTGGAGTGGAAGTTTGCTGGGAGAATGGTGGAGGGGGTTTTATATGCACACTATGAAGGTGAATAAAACGAGCCTTCATGAAAAAGGGGTGCTTAAAATTCTAGTTGTCACAAGCTACTGATTCTGGCAGATTGGATCACCAGCACACAAACCATCTGTAAAACATCTCCATTCCCTAACACCCCTGGATGATAAGAGCCAGCAGTTTTTGACTGGAAGGCAGTAATGTGCTATGTTAGGAGGTCAAAAGGTCTTTGTGTTGTGATCAAATGAAACCTTCTCTGTTTACAAGGGAATGGAGAGTCTGGATTCTTACACAAATGCCCTGCCTGACCCTAATGGGTCTCAGTTTTCTAGCTGAGAAACTACGGGATGGTGAATATTTCATATCAGCTCTGTTGGAAGGTACACTGCCGATACTAAACCTCATCTTAGTTTAAAATATTCGTTCTCAGTCTTTTGCATCTTTAAATTCAATTTGTACTCTCTGTTTTGAGCAATTTAACACCAAAAGTAGCTTAGAAGAAAGGTGATTCCCAGCACAGGCTTGTATTTATGTATTTTGGAGGTGGATGTCACCTCTCCACAGTGTTACTAGGCTGCCATCTCGTGGGAAAAAGAAAAACTTGAAGCCAGAAGAAAACCTTGTCCCTTTAAGTTCTTTCCACAGCAGGTAGCAGCATTCCAGAGGCTGTCTTAGACCTTTATTGCATGGGAAAGCTTTGTGGTTTCCTTCTGTGGTCATAGTGGTTGAGCTATGTTGGTGTAACTCTGTCCAGTTCTTTCCTGGGAACACCCATTACAGAGGCCTTTCACTCCCAGAGTCTCTAATCGCCTCCCAGTTAACAGCTTGTGTAACTGGGCTGAATTCCTGGGGGAGGGTTTCTGACCTATCTCATTTGCTTTGGATTCCTGATTTAGGCTGGTCCAAGAAGAAGATGCTTTTGTAGGTGAGGTCTTTTAAAATAAGCTTTTATCTAAGCTCTTTATTGCTACTTTCTTGGGTAATTACAATACTGTACTCATGAACTGAGATCTTGTCCAAAGAGGTGGTTTAAAGTTTCTCCTAGTTGCCAGAATTTGTGTCCTGTTCCCTTTTCTTCCTTCAGTGCCCCAGCACCCTCACAGAGTTCAGAATTTCATTGTGCTTTGCCACAGCTGCAGAGCTGTTTAATCCTTTCCAGTTCTTAGCATACTCATGGGCAGAAAAGCTGATAGAAATGCAGGATGATGGGCAGAGGAGCGCTAGAGTTCATTCTGTTGCATCAAATTTGGGTTCATTAGTACTTGAAGGGGGTTTAAAAGCAGGTTGCTCTTCTGGATATTGCTTTTGGTAAAGGACTTTGTCTCAGCTGAGGTAGTTCTGACACGTTAACAGAGTGAAAGGCTGGGAGCAGACTGTGAGATCAGTGAGTGTGTGTGGAGGAGTGAAGCTGACAGGGAAATAATAGCAATTAATCTCCCCTCCTTTGTCAATTAATCTCAGTACAGTCATGCTGGGTAAACAGCTTATTACTTCATATTAGGATCACAGAACAACTTTGTGAAGCTTCCCATAATGTTTCAGTTCAAAACACATTTCTGTGGCAGCTTAGATCTGCCATGAACTTGGGTTTAAACTGCCTCCGCTGATTAAAGTGAACTTGCTACTCTGATGAAGAATGCTTTCTTGGGGCAGCAGGGGGTTCTTTCTGTACTTCTTTTCCTTCAGGCTGAGGAATTTGGGGAGTGTTGGGATAACAATGTGAGTCAGGAGAAATTCTTTCTTTGCAAATTAACTGCCTCAGTGCTGTCTTAAGCCACAGCAGTGCAGGGAGATGAACCAGCTCTCTCTGAAAGATGGTTGTTGTAAAAGTGGTGCCTCATTCCCAAGAGAACAACATAATAGGTCCTGAAGAGTCTGTTCAGTGTGTCAGTTTGTGCTTTAGTGGAGGATGTACCCTGAGAGGATGTAAGAAGTATGAATCAAAAGATTGCATGGGTACTAAATGAAGTGAGAGGAGAATGAATCTTGCATGGTCTTGGAAGTTGTCAGCTGTGGGCAAGGAGAAAAATCATATCAGGAAAAGCCTGTCTTTTAGGAAAAATAAAAGCAACAAAATGAATTCTGCATTCATGGGAATGGTTTAAGTCCATCATGTATATACTAGGCAACAGTTCAGGCCAGGACATGAAAAAGACAGGTACCTCCATTTGGTATTTTTGACCTGCAAGAATGCAGTCACTTCAGTGGACTTTAAAATGGCTTGAGCTCTCCCACTCATATTTGCAGTCCTGCTAAAGTTGTCTCTGGAAAGGCAGTGTCCTAAACCACAGTGCTGTGGCACTGGTGAGCCTGGGTGAGAGGAGAAGAGCAGCATCATTTCAATTGCAGACATCCCATGGCAGTGGCACCTTGTGATCATGGGGAAATTCTGAGCTGTTCTGCACATGGCTGAGGAATGCCTCTACCTTGGTGAGGAATCAGAAGGTGATGTGGTAGTAAACTTGGGAGCCATTGTGACTGTGGATGTGTCTCAATATAATTGGAGTGCTTATTGACCATTTGACTTTGTTCAGTCATAATGTCTTTGTCAATTGTCCTTAAAGAAGTGGGATACCTTCTGTGTAGCTAGCTATAAATGGTTACCTGTAAGAGTGCTAGCCCAGATCAAATAGGCTGGAATTCCTGGGTCATGGGTCATGAAATAAATGGGAGATGCTTCTTCCTTCTAACCAGCTTTGGATAGATTTAATTTTTTTGTGCAGCTATTTCTTGATGTCAGATTTGTTTTAGAGATGTAGTCTCTACAGAAAGGGCAGCTGAAAGGTTAAGATAGTAAAGAGATTAGAGGACTATTACCCCTTCAGCAGAATCCCTTTTGGTAAATATAGCTGAAGGAAGCTTGGGAACACTTTGTGAGACCCACATACACTTCCCTTCCGTTCCATGTTGCATCTCCCTTCTGGATCATAGCTCCATGGTTAATCAGACCTTTTGACTTTACTGTTATTTGATTGGAATGCCATGGGAGCGTACGTGTCAGTCTATATCCTGCTGTGTCCAGGTGTCAGGTGAGTTTTGATCAAAAATGTCCTCTGAGATTCTGATGCTTGCGACTGCACAATCTCTTTTGAACTAGCCCTGTAGATTTCCTGACTATGGACAGCCTGAGATCTGCCAGCTCACCCTGGGTAAAGACTTTCTGAGAGGATTATTAGTGGTGGAGCAACTCTTAAGAGTTAAATTTGACTTCCTTACTAACTGAAATGGGTGAAGCCCAGCTTAATGTCATCTTTAGAATCAGGGCAGGCAAGTACTTGGGCAGAGCAGTGCCTCCGAGAGAATTCTCCTGTGTATGGTGAGATGGCAGTCTTGTAATGGTGCCTACCAGGAGAGATGACTTCAAGGGGTCAGGTCCAAAGTTCTCTCTCCATTTTGTAACATTTTGCTGCCAAGATCCTTCTGACATATTTCGTGTTCTTTATCTTGACCTCCTCCAAGAAGTTTTACAAATGATTAGGAACAAAATACTTCTTGAAATTTAAACCCCATGACTGAATCTTGTAACTTGCATGACTGCCAGCATGGAAGAATGGGGACTTGAAACCTGTAGAAAATGAATCATCTGGTTCTTTTAATTTCTTTAGAATCCTCCAGTTTTAAAGGAGCTAAGCAGTTACTTCTCAGTTGTGTGTAGTCTGAAACATGTTCAGTGATCCATCATTTTGTCTTAGAAGAGGTCTTAGTCAAGTATTTTATCTTGCACATATATATATCTGTACTCTTTAGAAGTGTCAGTGACCGTGTATTTCTCCATCCTTATCTCTCTACGAGAACCTTGGTCTGTATATATCCTTAAACTGATCCAGGGAAAAGAAGCCAGCACGGTCTCTAGTTAGCAATATTGCATATAATGAATTTGAAAAGATGTAGTGAGTGGCAGGTGATCAGAATTTTTGCTGCCTCGTGCTACATGGATTTGGGTGTGATACATTTGAAATCAGCAGTACACAGACTCTGTGTGTAAATATATACCTCTGTGTGTACGTATAAATCAAAATATGGATCTTTTAAAAGGAATTTAACGTTCTCCAGTCTTCACAGTTACACTTCATAGTTGCAGTAGGCAGATGAATGGGCACAAGCTACCCATTTGTTTTCTCTTGAACAGTAACAGAAGGGTCATATTAGCTAATGGAGATAGTATTTAAGATCTGTGCTAGGATAGGTCTGTGTGCATAGGACCCAGATGTGACTGTCCGAGAAGTTTTGACTCCAAACAAATACTCACCGTATCCCTCCCACTTAAAATATCTGTGTAAATTTACTGGCATGTTTGGATTGAGTGAAATGAAGAAAGTAAAATAGCTACAAGAGTTGTTGGAATGCTTTCTTTTAATATCTTAAAGTGATACTGCTAAAGCAGATTCCAGACTCTGACTGTGGGAGTTTTTGTTTGCTTGTGCCTGACATTGATACTAACAGAGACTCTAAGTTTGGGGAAAAGCTCCCAGATAACATTTCTTTGCAGAAATAAGAACCTTCTCTGGGTTCCCTGCAACATGAAAGTACAAACCTGCCTCCAGGAACTTAACAATATGAACATTAAAAAACTCAGAAACATGGAGGAAGAAGAAGAAGAGATTGCAGCAGCTAATTTTATAAGGTGGCTAATGAGGAAAGAGTTTTGATTCTGCAGTCCCGTGTTTGAACCAGTACAGTC